TTGTCTAGCGTTGCGCTATGTGCCCAACAAGAATAAGCTTTCCGTTGTCGTCATGGAATGCAAAAACCTCAAGAAAATGGACGTGCTGGGACTGTCTGGTAAGATCGTTCATCATACCTTTGGCTTTTGCATGAGAACAGGAGAGTCACAATTTCTTAGTGATTAACAATCCCTCTCTCTCGCTTCACACGTCTAATCGCCCTCAGCCACCGTTTCGCAGAAAGCCGTATGTTGTTCTCCATAAACCAAGTGTCCGCCTGCCTATCTAAGTACAAAGCAAAGGGTGGGCTGATTCACACCTGCTGGCTGAGCCATCTGAGGCAGAGGCTGAACCCATTTTTAACGCTTCGCGGAAGAATTCGCACTGTGCATCGCGCTAAATTGGTACACCTTCGTTCACAAGGCAGTACTGCAATTTCGCTACTGGGCCACATCGCAGCTATCTCTTCCTAGATGTGTTGGGGGGGGGGGGGGGGGGGTGGATGGGGAGGATGGATTCTCATTTGTCCGCTGAGCAAGGACTTTTATTCAAATGTTCTGAAAGCTACACTGGTTATCGAGTCACGTATTGCTTCTTTCAACATGAAAAATATTTTTCTGGACGGCTTATGGTCAGAAGTTCAAAACATTGTTCGGGATATTTTCGACGGCTCGCAGCTTAAAACGGGCTTCCTCGCACAAAAGGAACTTGTCGTGACGAACTGCATAATGAAGGTGGAGGGGCAGGGTCAACCCTACGTTGTTACGAGTAACAACGGGGGGGTCGTACCTGGTTGAGTTTGTAGGAGGGGGGGTCGTACCCACTTTAGTCGCTCGAAATCACGTGTGGGATTGAGGTGAAACTAAGATTTCGTGGGTAGTAGGCTGGGCGAGTGGAGGGCGCGCAAGGATGTAAATTTTTCGTAGAGACGGCATTTTTGGAGGAAAAAGTGGGCGGGGTTTTGATGGAAGATGGAGATGGTGGAGGTAGGGAAAAGGGGGTCGTATCAAATCCACGTTGGGGGAGGGGGGTCGTAAAAATTTTTCGAAAAGTAACAACGATAGGACAGACCCTGCTTCGGAGTAGAGCGGGATGCGTTTCCACCACAGCCTTGGCACTAGTTTGGGTGCTGTCTAGACCAACCTTAGCCCCTACATGATCAGTGAAGATGGTACCAGGCCTGATGTGAACGACAATCGTATGATCAGTTAGGGGTCGCTGTGGGGATTGTGCCTTCTAAGAACGCTTCCAGAAGCTTCTATAATTCATAATTGAAATCATATCCGTTTTCCAGGAAGACCACTTATCTAATGTCTACTAATAAATGTTTTTTATTCAGAAAAGCAGCTGAGCAAATTTCAAGGCTCGGCAATTTCTCGCTTCTTATTTATTCTCGTTCTTCGAGTAGAGAAGACTTTAATTAAATTCTTCTCCTAGAATCGGCAGACATTCGCTTCAGCTTAATTCTGTGGTTCTTCACTTGAGGATAAAAGGGAAGGGGTGGGCAGATTGGTTGAATCGGCTTCGTCGTTTGAATTTGAAACATGTAAATGGTTGAGAGAGAGATGGGAGAGGCCTTCCGCAAGAAGTGCCCAGCCACTGATCTACCTGCAGGCATATGTCGACCAAACCCTCCGGAATGCGCCCGCGAATTGGATCTATTCAAAATTATTGACAGCGGTTGGGCCGCTTTTCTGATCATGCAGTGCGGGCCAGCCGACATGGTATAACACAGGTTCACGCTTTAGACCCTGAGACAACGTGCAGTAATAGTATTAGCGTGGAGCAAATGTGGAAGAAACACCGTGCTTAGCGGTCAAAGCTAGCCTAGAGATCGCTTTCTTTGGTAACCGGTGAGAGAGACGATTTTTGGCTTATGAACAATTATCTGAGCCTCGAAGGTAAGCGGACCCTGCCACGGGGTGGGACAAAGCCTAAGTATAAGAGGAAGAAAATTCAGTCACGTAGGGCGGATATGGTGTAATGGCAATGATGCGCCTCCCACGTGCGCGGTCCGGAGGCCAGTTTCGGGTTCAAATCTCACTCAGATCTACCAAGCCTCCCATCAATCCGTGGTCAGCTGATTAGTGGCAGACCCAGCTGGGGTGAAAGTGAACGAAACTACTGGCGAGCACATCGGTTGGCCCCGGCAAGCCACTGCTTAGGTAGAAAGCATTAAAGGTGTCATTTCTATATTCGATGGAGATAGAATGCGTGGCGCATCCCAAAAAGTTATAGCGTCTGCTGCTTCCTTACCCTTTCACTTTCAACCTACCAAAGCTGATTCATTGCGCTTTCAGTGCAAGCCGATTATTTCGATTCATACGACACGATCGGCTAGCTTGTACCGGATACTGTAGTCCGCATTTCACAGTATTTCGTTTCCAGATCCCTACGTGAAGATCTATTTGATGTTACAAAATAAGCGATTGGAAAAGAAAAAGACGACAATTCAAGATGAAAACACTGAATCCTTATTACAATGAATCATTCAGTTTTGATGTGACACCGGAAAAAATGCAGGTGAGTTGAACATTTCTGGTTCTCAATAATAACCAGCCAGTAAGGTTACGATTTTAGAGGGTACACCTGCACATTACGGTCTCTGATTATGATCGAGTCGGCTCTAACGAGAGGATAGGACAGGTGAGGCTACTTTTTTATTCCTCTTTCGATAACTAATTAAGGCTGTTCGACATACATATTTAATATTACTGTTACAATTCTTCTGTTTCTTTTATATATTATTTTACTATTTTATATGACCATTTTTTATATTACTGTTATTTTATATCGGAACAAATCAAAGTGCCTAATATTGTCTACTCACAACGGAATTGTCCCGTCCAATACGACCAAGGTACTAAGAAGTCAAACAAGTCATATACGACCTCCTCACTGAATGGCCGCACTTTGTGGCGGGAGCATTGCGCCCATTAAAGGAAGTGGTCACGGAAATTCCTATGGAGACGATAAGGAAAGTGACATAGTGGATTGGGTAGGGGTCCTACCCAATGAGACGACAGGTGACGCTTCAGGGCAGTGGCGCCTTATCAACGGCGTGATAAGGCGCCGAAACCCACTTCCGGTTCGGCGTTGCACCTCCTTATCAGACGTGGAAGGGGATGCAATAGCAGCGTGCTAGATATGATACGTTATCGTTATCGTTCGATTTTCATGCTGGAGTGCACCTCATTCCAAGCAGCCGTATCTTCTTATCTAATCGTATCGTATCTTCCATAGGGTTACGCGGGAGGCGGTCATATGGCGCGATCCCATTGGCATTAGAGCGCACAGGCCGCAATTGCCCCATCCTGCTGCGGCCGGACAACTCGTCCGTATCACTCAACTACTAGACTTCAGTAATTGATCGATCTGATAATTTGGGTCTCAAAAATCTCGCTGAGTCCCAAAGATCTAAAAAGAGCGGATAGCTTGTGGGGGCTGATGCCAAGGCAAAGGAAACGGAAATTGAATGTGTTGCGCGGACGAGTTGTCCGGCAACAGCAGGGCGTGGTAATTGTGGCCTATGCGCTCCAATGCCAATGGGATCGCGCCAATTCGACGCACACCCGGTTACGCTCGTCCAACCACTACCTATCTCCGACCTTATCATTGATAACGCAGAAGTCACCGATCTACGTGGAAGCTAGCGTGATTGCTTCCTCTGAAGAAAGGGATCGCGCTGGCTTTGTGCTGGAGCGGATGTACGCGTTTACTAGCCGAAGGACCCGAGTAAGAGCTGGGCTGAACGAGCGCAACCCCATGAAAGATAAGATACGATAAGATAAAGATACGGATGCTTGGTGGAAGGTGTAAGGTAGCATAAGAACGATAGGACGATAACGATCACTTTATCATATCAAGGTACGCTGCCATTGCGACCCCCTGGACCACAGGGTCAACCCTATGTTGCTACAAGTAGCAACGGGGGGTCGTATTTTGATGAGTTTGTAGAGGGGGGGTCGTACTTGCTTCGGTTGTAAGAAGTTGCATGTGATGAGTGGGGAGCGGCGCGGGAGAAAATTTGCCGTTTCAGCGCGTGTATATATCCCCCCACGGTAAGTATATACCCCCGCTCGACGGTAATTTTTTGGGGTAAAAATTGTTTTGAAAGAGGGGGTCGTATGAAACATTTCATGAGGGAGGGGGGGTCGTAAAAACTTTTGAAAAGTAGCAACGATAGGACCGACCCTGCCCCTTACTAAAACAATGGATTTTGCTGCTTATCTTGGCATTGATAAGGCTCCCCCACCCCTGAAGTGCCAACTATCGGTTCATTGAACAGGTCTCCTACCCAATCTACTACGTTTCCCGTCCGCCCCACCGCTACCTCTTCCTTTGAACTTGCTCCTTATAATACAGCTATTATTTCACTAAACGCTAAAAGTATGGTGGGCAAATTCCAAGGCCGGGAACGAATATCCTACTTGAAAACTTCTAGTCAGCAACAAGCTATTCTCTACACCAAGATCTCAAGAGGAGCAAACTTGGTGCCCATGAGCTCACGCCCTCAATTGGCGGTGCTCTTCGTAAT